AAAAAAAAAAAAAAAATAGAAGTTCTGGCCTTGCGCGCGCTGCGCAGCTCCTGGCTATGGCTGCTCCTCTCTTTGGGGCATTTCATCAAACACATTTTGGGCATTTGCAGGGGTCAAGTTCTTCAGCTCCTATGGAGGATTCCGGGCTTGCGGGGGTCAATTGACCCCCCTTGCCCTATGTGGATCCGCCACTGCATAAACATATGGGCCCTAGAGCTAGACTCAATATAATAAAGGGAGTTTCACTAAAACACTCAAAATGGGGGCTGAAATTATAAAAAAACCCAACACCCAAAACACTTTATAAACACACCTAAAACCCATCATTACACATACTCAAAACCCATTTATAAACACACCCAAAAAATATACAATTGTTGATTTTGGGTGTGTTTCTATGTTTAAATAGTATTTGGGTTTTTTTATAAATACATGTCTAGGATTGGGTTTATTTATAAATTTGTATATAATAAAATATTGATATGTTTTGTTATGCAAGCATGCAAGCATAAGGAAAAGAAAAAGATTCAAGATTTTTTACTGGTATGAAGGAAGTAGATGAGAGATGGGATACCAAAGTGGAGCCCAACCTTTTTTATTTGTTTTTTATTTAGAGAAAACGAAATTCATTGCAAAACTTGGAAACATTACAATCTTGGAGCAGTGGGCCTGCTCTCCACTCAATAGCACTAGTAAGACCCACTGCTGACCTTGCACTAAATCAGGTACGCAATGCTATTATTGTTAAATTCAGAGAAACAGGATAGTGACCCATTACTAGCAACACAAATATTATACATAACTTAACAATCTACCAAATCCAGTAGGAACGAAGTTTTATCACAAAAGTCCTCGATAATATTAGTAGTGAGATCATTCATTATATATGCGAGAAACATAAACCACATAGGCCCATTGGAAATGAAAGAGAACCTCCACACAGTCTTCATAAAGAAAACCCCAAAAAGACATATTTGATAAGTGGAGCCCAACCTTGAAGAGAAGAGAGTGTGCTTCTCACTGTTCGCTGCTTGAATTGGAGACGTTTTTTTTGTCTCTTTAGTTTCCTAATTCACTCATAGAGTCTAGTGTAAATTAGCAAGACTTTTGGTAGTAAGAATTCGCTTTAAAAATATTGAAAAATCATTTATTTAACCAAGTTGTCAAAAATCATTAACTTTTTGAATACTACAAAAATTTTAATTTTTTTTTTAAAATCATAATTAAATACCACTAAACTTTTAAAAATTATTTAAAAATCACAATTAAATACCTTCACACTTTTAATTCATTAAGAGTCATTGAAACGTTTAAAAGTGTGGTGTATTTTAAACGTTAATGTCACTCTCTCTCTCTCCACCGAACAAAAACGAAGGGAGCGACAAATTCAAATGACCCACACACAAAATTATTGGGAGAAAATAGACCAAACATAACGTATAAAAAAATACACACACGAGAGAATTAATTATAAAGATAAATAAATAAACGCTGGACAAGTAAATTTACAAAACGGTCCAAAGCATCTGCAATGCGACACACACACAAGCACACAAGGGAGGCCAACGAAGCACAGCGGGCTCTGCCACGTGTACACCACGTGTACGCCAACCCACCCCAGCCACCCAAGGAAGCAAACAGGTTTCCAAATCACACTTCCCAACTACTATTGATGACTGCTGGACGACGTCGTATCTGCCGTCAGTATTACATGTCGTTATTTGCTGTTGTTTTTTTTTGGGCGGCCTTTATGCTGATGTTTACATAGAGAGGAATAGGTATTGGCTAGCAATTAAAGCCAAAAGGGCCATCTTATCGGTCCTTGTCTTGAATGAAAAATCAAACTACTTCTCATCATCATCGTCGTCGGAGCTGTCTTTTTGAGAAAGATCGAAAAGCATCTTCTCGATCCTTTGCTTTGTGATCTCCGTCTCAGAGGCTCTAGCTTCCCTGTTCTTTGTGTATGCCTCAAAGAACTCCTTGTTCTCCTTCTCCAACTCCTTCCACACTGCAATTATGTAGATTATTTAATCACCCAGAATCTATAATAATACCATGCAAACACTTAATTCTAAGTGTAACATGCATTTTGTGTGTACATAGAGAGTTGTAACAGTAAACTCTGCACCTGAGGCCTTGTGTTCGAGTCTCTTATATCGCTTCTCGGGAAAAAAAGTGTATATACATAGAGAGGGAAGAGGGAATTAATCTGGGTTGGACTGACCTGTGGAGGTAATGATGGGTTTGATGTTTGCATGCTTAGAGAGGGCTTCCATGCACTCTTCTTTGCTCATGTTGAATATGATGCACTCCTCGATTAAATGGTGCACCTGATTAATCATTATAATCATGCATGTCACCACCATTTGATTTTCATCATCAAAAACTCTCAAACAGAAAAAACTAAGTGTGTGATCGTATACCAAATCAAATATATAAAGATGGAGATGATGATGATCAAAAAAAGTAGAAGAACATTCATAAAAAATTGTAGCTTATATTTCCAATATAGAAGTAAAACAAGCTTTACCATGTGGATGTATGAAGCAGAAGAATCACCCATCTTCTTGTAGTATTTGTCTGTGTTATATAACACCTAATATCGCAGAAGGAGGCTGGCTAGCTCAACTTGTTGCAGAAAGAAGGGGGAGAGTGAGAGGCAAGCAGATGCTAGATCATAAGAAAACGCAAGAGTTGGGATCAAGAAAGCCAAAGATGTTGAAACGACTGATAGGTTAAAATAAGAGGAAATCATGAGGAGGGATGGACGATAAATTGTATATTTTTATATGGAAAGTAAAATCAATAAATAAATAAAAGTGCAGGTGAGTCTTGTGATGTCATAAGGTGGTGTGGGGGCTCCAATGCCCACGTGGGAGGAGCACGATGATTGGTGGAGAGGGGATGAGAGGAGATTCTACAAGCAGCCTTAGTTTGTCTCTTATACGTGGGCACTGACCCAGTGTCCACGTGACACGTGGGGCCCCTCACCTTCCTACACATGTTAGCTAGTAGGTTTTCATATGCCCGAGTTCTGACTAGGTATATCAAACCCATGCATCATTGCGCCGCCCACACTCCTGCTGCAGCACAAACTTTGGCCCAGTTTCTACCGACCTAGCCCATAATCTCAATATCCTCTCTCCTAAGTTCTAACCTAGCAACTTTATACTGGAAGAGAGCTCAAGTTCGAATTACTGTTATCGAATAAAAGTCGAACTCGATGCTAATGTATGTATTGACATATATCATAACGGTGGATTTGACTATTGATCATGTTAATTTACAATATAATAAGAAAATCTTAACGTGATCAATGATTTAGATTCATAATTCTAGCATAAGTAGTTTACATCGAAACGACTCTTGTATTATAATTTTATAGAAATTACTGATAGAATGTATAGTCCAGAGCAGAAGAGCTTTGTGAATATATATTTACTACTACTAGTAATGAGGGTATTTCAATAGGTGCCTTTTGTATTCTTTTGCCTTTTATTTGTATTTTTGTATTCAGCCAGTTTTGTTGGCATGGGAGCTTTTCTGATGTATGGGATGGGAGGCATGTGATTTGTACAAATTTTTATTCACTCAGGGGAGAAAATATATATGATATGACCCATATGGATTTGCTATTTTCACGTGGAAACTAGCTAAGTATTATTTTTTTCCCCATACAGATGATATTTTTATATTAGTTTAATAATTAATCATGACCTAACACTTTTAGTGTTAAAACTGTTGCTTTCACCTTTCACTGACCTATAATTGTGGTTCCATTTACGTTTATTAAGACAAAGGCTTCCAACTAGATAATGTTTGCCCATCCAGAGTACTAAAATTGGCTTCTTGACCAATCACCTAAGGCTAGCTAGATATTTTGCTATATATCTTAGTTTTTCACTAGATGATACAAGGATGGAATTTCCAGAATTTACCACTGCCATGTTGCATCTTTGTGGGAGGTGTAAATTCGGGGATGTCAAGTCATTTTTACATCTCCTTTATACCTCTAGAAGATGTAAATGTATTTTTTGCTCCAATTAGGTGAATGTATATCCGGAGATGTAAACAACAATATAATGAAAACAAATTCATTATGCACACGGTATATAATTCTCTTTTGCTTCATAGTAAATCAAAACATACCCTCTAAGAAAAGAGAGGATGTCTGTTCTGGAAAAAGAATGATTAGCATAAAGCATTGATAGAGCTTGGGTGAAAAATCCTCCTTCGTTCCTGACACTGTAAATGATCATCCTTAGTCGCTTAGCACGGGCTTTCCTTTTTTTATACTCTTCGTCTTTTTTATTGAGAGATCTCGAAAATAAACTTATTTGAAGAATACATCGTGAAAGATGCATGTCAAACGGCTTTGTCACATGATTGCATTGTGGACTTTAATCTTCGACGCCAGCTTAGAATTTCAGCAAAACCAAATTTATAGTATAATATCGGTTAGTGCAATTACAGCTCGAGATGATAATGACATGGTCTGCTCTGCTGTTGGTTCACGGTTTGTTACTTTCAACAACTCTGTTGGTGCCTTCAATATCAAATGCTCATCTGCTTTAAAAGTCTAAACAAACAAAGATTAGCAATAGTTTAATCAGCATGCATTTTCTTAAACTTCAAACAACTGGCCAGACTAAAATAAAACAGGAGGCCTTAAGTGGAGTTATAGAAGCAAACCCCTTTGAAATTAAACCTTATGAGCTGGCTAGTAAACTAGAAAATATACATCGGTAAATTCAGTCCCTGACCGCTCACCCCATCTCATTGGTTTTCACCATAGGTTATTTAAGGCTAACCAGAGAATCCCACTTCGCCTATTGATGTATTTGTAGTTGGGTAAGAGAAGAATGGCATATGGAGCAAAACACAGAAACAACATTTTAATGTCATATTTATGTTTATGGTCACGCATTTTCTCAGTGAAAATCATAAAAACAAACCAGAAGCTATGGCTATAAAAGAAGACAACCAGTATAAGACATTGATGGGCAGGTAAGGGGAGGAGGGGTGGGGTAAGCTTTACTATACAGAAACAATCGTACAATCAAAAACCCACATCTGTATTTCGACTCGTTTCACTCATTTTATATCTTTCAGGCTTTCTAATAGCTCGTGCGCATGACTGATATAGATGAGGATCGTTGATTTACAAGGGGTAGCCACCCCTTCTCATATCTCTAGTGAAAAAGGGATGTCTTAGAGCTTCCCTTGCCTTGAGACGCTCCGCTGGCTCGTATCTTAGGAGCCCTTGCAAGAGTTCAATCAAATCTCCAGCAGAATGGTCCACATGCTGCATTATTAGGTTCTGCAATGGATGGTTCAAAATAACAGTAAAGTAAGTCTGCAAGCACTTGATTAAAAATCCAAGGACAGATTAAATTTGTATTGTATATGCGTAGGGTGTTACATTATTGGCATAAATAAGATAGCAACTTTTTAAGTTCTGAATCATTACCGGTAACCGGGGCAATTTGCAAACTGCCCTCATGCTTTCTCTAGAAGTTGCTCCATCAGGCCAATCCAGTCGTGCTCCCCTTCTAAAATATTTGTCAGCACGACGACTGCAAAAATTGGGCACAATATAAGAGCTCCATGCCAAATACAAAACGAAGGGATTATGCACAGTAAGAGTCTTACTCAGCTCTGAGCACCATATGCTGTGGTAGTGGCCCCAAAACCCTCTCCATCATGGCAAGATGCTCCAAGTTCTCATGCGTTTGAAATAGGGCCTCACCCTGTTGAAAAACAATACAAATGTCAGCAAAATATTATGCACCCCCTACGCAACGCAAATTCAATTGTAACTTTAAGTGAAAATGACTCAATTTTAGATGGGTCCATATAAACTCAATGGTACTTACAGAGCAAAGTTCAACAAGTATGCAACCCACACTCCAGATATCACAAGGATAGTTCCATCCAAGACCTACATATAACATCAGATGACTGTTATCTAAAATGCAAGCAAACCCAAGATGTCACTTCAGTAGCCTAGAATTGTATTTACCCAAAATAACCTCCGGTGCACGATAATGGCGTGTTGACACCACATAGCTGTGATCCTGATGTTCAAATGTTGTACTCCCAAAATCAATGAGCTTAATGGCACTTGACTTGGGCAGATTCTTGAAATAGGAACCCTCTTTAGTCGACCGTGATAGAAACTTGATTCCAGTTAAAAAAAGAAAAGGGTGAAGTGTCAGGACTTTGAGCTTTACTAATTACCTCAATAAAAAAACACAAGATCTGAAGATGGCTTGAGTAAAAAAATTGAAACCTAAACTGATGCTGTACCAAATTGCTGGACATCTTAGACTAAGTCTAAAAATTAAGAACTGCGGAATGAAACAGAAAATGCTGTTGCAAATCCGTGCATGAGGGATACATTAGACTATAATGAGGCACAAAATAATCAAACACATTACAAAACCCACAACATTGTTGAATCAGATAACCCATATGCACTCTCCAAGGTCTGCTTGAGTGTGTATGCACAAACACATAAGATGCTAAGAGACCAAAAGCATGATTCAGTAAACAATACCTTATAGTCTGGCACTTTGATGTAGTCAGATGAAACAAGCAGAATATTTTCTGGCTTCAGATCAGTATGTATAAGGCGTAAATCATGCATAACTGCAAAGATAAACCAGCAGACAAGTCAAAAAGCAGGGAATTAACTGCCATTATTATCATCAACTACATGCTATACATACAATAATTATGTTCTCCTTATAATATTGGAGATGGAAATAAATATCATGCCAAGAAGGCCAGAATTCAGCTTTACGCTTAAAACAGTTTGAGCATCAAGTTGAATGAATTTAGATAAAATGGTGCAAGAATTGTCCACACACATGCTACAGACTCCAAAAGTTGTCTGCCAAGCTCCCGAACAAGATCAATGGGAAATGAACGGTAGCTGTTTTTGCGAAGAAAATCGTATAAGCTAGGTCCAAGCTTCTCAAATACCTGTTGAAACCATTTAAATCCATCCGCAAGTTTTTTTAACTCACAGAAAATTCAGGCATGAAGGAACATATATTGCCCCTCTAAACTAATTAAATCAGAAGTACCAATAAATACTTACAATACAAATATGATTACGATAGTCAAACCAATTCCGTATTTGCACACAACTGCAAAGAATAAAACCACTTATACCAACATCGCAAACTTCTACCACCAATGAGAGAGACAGAAAATAAAGTATCCTTACCGAGTGCCACCAATATCATGCCTTCCAAGCCTTTGTAGGACATCAATTTCAATCATAGCAGCTTCACGATACTTATGTATGGAGCGGACAATTTTGATTGCCACAACCTCTTTCTTTTCATTGTCAATACACTCCAACACTTGCCCAAAAGTTCCTAGAAAAGTCATAGCCAAGATATTAAAATAATTCTGAGGAGTTGAAAAGAGATATGCACCCCTTCTAGCTGAAGGTGAACTTTACTCCCAAAAAAGCAAGAATACCAACCCTCTCCCATTTTGCTGAGAATTCTGTCTGCAAGTATGATAAGCAAAAGGTATCAATTAGTGAACAAATAATAAGCATAAATGATAACAAGGAGTCAATCCATAAATAATGAACATAAAAATTGAATACCAAGATCTAATGCATAATTCTATACCGAACATAAATAATTAACATTACCAAATAACCACACATAGTTGCAAATATGAATGAATTAAGAGCCAAACAATCATGTCCATCCAAATCTGAACATGATGTACCTACTTACATAGAACAAGAGCTGCAATGGTTAGAGAAACTTACATCGAGGGGTTAAATTTTCTCCGATTCCGAACACGTAATGACCATCTTTATCATCAGGTCTCCACGGAGGGGAAGCATTGCGTGGCAACCCACCATAAAACATAGACGTATAGGTGTAATTGGGGATTGGCCCATTCCCAAACTCCTGCCCGCAGTAAATTGCTGGGAATAGCTGCATAACATATAAAGCATAATCAAATAATCAAATTACACATACATGTATATAATTCAAGAATAACGTTTTATTCTGTCCCTAAAGCGCAAAAATTCAAGAAATCGTCAAGATTGAGACTTTCTACAAATCTGTTCTGAACAATGAAACTTATGAATAAAAAAAAGCTGTTGACCATGAGAATTCAAAAAATTACAGAAAAAACAAAAAGTTTGGGAAATTGACCAGGGATTGTAAGTAGATAACAAAATTTGGAAAACTAAGAGAGACGAACCTCAGGAGGAGGAAGAGGAGGGGGCATGTCCCATGCTAATCGAGGCCTCTTTCTGGGCCGCTTATCCATATTCTTGTGCGGAAACTCCATTATCCTCTGTGTCTCCATTCTTCCCCTAATTTTTGTTTTGCTCTTTAAACAAAAAAGATTCTCTCCAGAGCGATCGAAAATTCCAACGAATCAGAAATTCAGGACCTAATTAGGGTTCTGAGAATTGAAAGGATGAAAATTGAGATAGGATTTTGGGGGAAATTGATAAGGGGATTTTTGTTGAGCTCTGAAACCCTAATCTTGGATCTGAAGCTCTAAACCATGGACGGGAATTAACCCTGGTTAACTGGGAATGATTCCATGACGCTGCGATTTCTAACTATGGGTTTGAAAAAGTGGGTCCCACAGATTTTTTATTGCTGAGGCGCGTGCGGGGACCGCCCGACCGGTTATATGTTAATGTAGTGTGTCGTGCGCGCCTTCCCGCTGCGTTCAGCTGACAGGTGTTGATTTGCGGACCCGTGAGAGGCCACGCGCATATTCGCTTTTTATTATTGTTGGGCTTTTTTTTATATTGAAAATAGGCCCAAATGTTTTGTCCTTTTGATTTTTTTTCTTTTTTGAGCGGATTGCTCTTTTGAATTTTGATCTTTCAATTTTCCCTTGTTTTTTTTTATTAAAAAAAAATTGCAAAAGGGAAAACAAAATATCAAACCAGTAAAATGAGATATGGATTTTAATGAGTCATTTGGATATTGAATGTATGGTAATGCAACTAATAAATCTTTATGCTATTAAATAATTTCAATGATCTTAGATTTTGAGATGAAAATCAGTAATTAAAAGTCTTTGTAATCACCTATGTGTACAAATGTTCGAAATTCAGAGACACCCAATGAATATTTATGTAAACTCCACTCCCCCAATTGCTCGTACTTGTAGTAAAAAAATAGTCTTTGTACTCAACTCTTTTGATTATATCATTTGTGAAAGAGTTTAGGTTTACAATTACAATTTGAATAAATAGTAGCTCATTTATTTTTCTTTTAACATATCATGCCCACCACTAATGTGAAAAACATGTTAACATCTATAATTTCTCCATATTATGGCTGCTGATGCATTTAGCCAGGGGAACATAATTAGCTGATGTAAAAGCACAACAAACAGACCAAAAATCAAAACTTGAACCAATCTGTTGTTCCATTGCAAGAACTTTGAGGCCTTGTAATTGATTGAGCATCTCCTTTCCCAGATTATTTTTTCCAAGTTCATTCTACTTGCTTCACTGGGGCCTTGAAAGTTGGTCTCCCGCATCTCAAGGCTGGCTCCAGCTACATATAGAGATCATCAATGGCATTTTCTCCTTGTCTGGATTTATTCTCCCTTAAAATCTCTATACAGAATTTTCAATACAGATAACATTTCACTCGCTTGGTGATGGTTCTTATCCCCAGTAACAAATACATGAACTCTGTTCCTGATTTCTATCCAACTGCAACCCGGAACCCTCTTCAACCCTTTTTCTTTCATTTCTCTCCTTATTGTTGCCACACTCTGCCATCTGCCAGCTGCAGAATGTGCATTGGACAACATTACATATGATGACACATCTTCAGGATCCAAAGCCAATATTTTCCTAGCTGCAAACTCCCCTAATACCATATTTGAGTGGATTTGGCAGCCACCAAGCAATGCCTTCCAAAACCCAATACCTGGTTCAAAAGGCAAATTGCTGATAAACTCCTCAGCTTCTCCGAAACATCCGGACCGGGAGAGTAAATCAACCATACAAGCATAGTGCTCAGGCTTCAGAATGCTGGGGTCTTCAATTCTTGCCTGATTGAAATAACAATAACCCTGGTCAACAAGACCAGCATGGTTGCAAGCCCACAATAAGCCAAGAAGTGTTACACTATTGGGTTTGCAACTTGACAACCTCATCCTTTCAAAAAAGCTTATTGCTTCTTCTCCTTTACCATTTTGAGCATAGCCACATATCACAGCATTCCAAGAAACAATGTTTCTTTCTTCAATTTTGTTGAAAACCAAGAGACTATCTTCCATGCTACCACATTTTGCATAAAAGCTTATTAGTGAATTGCCAATAAACACATCAAGCTTACCCAAGAATTTGACAGCACAGGCATGAAAACTTCTGCCCATTCCTAGTGCTGCTATATTGGCAGCTGCAATGATAGCACAAGGAAAAGTAGAATGGTTAGGTACCAACCCATTTCTAAGCATCTCAATGAATAGATTGACAGCCTCTTCATTGTGGCCTGTTTGGCTATACCCTCCAATCATTGCATTCCATGAAACAACATTCCTCTCTGGCATCACTTGGAAAAGCTTCAAAGCTTCTTCAAGCTTCTCCTTTTTCAGGTATGCATATATCAATGTGGTGTAAGAAACCACATTGGGCTTCTGGGTATCTTCAAAAGCTCTTTTAGCATCCTGGGTAATGCTCAACTTGGCATAAAGATCTAACATTGCACTTCCCACAAAGACGTTCGAATGCAAACCTATCTTTGTTGCACATGCATGAAGTTGCTTGCCTATGTTTAGGTCTCCAAGTGCAGTTGACGAGTGAATGACAGTGCCAAATGTAAATTCGTTGGGTCTGACATTCAAAAGAAGCATTCTTGAAAAGAGATAAATAGCTTCTTCATGATGGTGCTGCCGAGCAAAGCTGCCTATTATTGATGTGGCCGATACCACGCTCAAGTCAGGCGTTTCATCGAACAACTGGCGTGCATGGAAGAATGCATCCGAGGTACCAAGTTGAAGGGCATGGGCATGAGCTTTCTGGGTTTCAGTAAGAAGGGCACCAGCCCAAGTCTGAGCTTTCCTTTGTAGGAAAAGAAAGAGAGGAGGCCTACATGGTATGGTTTTCATGTGTTTGTGTTTGGGTGGGTACTTTTGGGGATCAAATAGCCATGCGTAAAAGGCATATTGGGTTAGCCCAAGAAATGCAACTTCAAGTGTTTGAACGCTTTGGGTTTTATTTTTAAAAAATTTTAAACAATGGGGGTTAAATGCAAATTTTGGCCCAATTGTGGTGAAGCAACAATTAAATTCATGAAGTGATAATGGGGTTAACTGCAATTCTTGGTCAAAACCAAATCAACCCGGTAATTACGATTTGGATTAGTCAATTTAGTCGGTTCAGTCGGATTGATGCACACCCTTATATAAATTTTCATTTTAGGATAGATTCTTGTGTCCTGATGTATGCGTCAACACACTCAATCAGGTTGGGTCATTGTTGTGAGACTGGGCAAGACTAAAATATTTGTGTCCTGCTATTGTGTGAGTGTAGTCGAATAATCCATGTGATTTGACATGCGGACCAAGAATTTCTCCTCTCTAACTGGTTAGGCACAAATTAAAATATAGAAAAATTTAAAAAAACAAAACAAACAAAATGCTTTTCCTTCAAGAGAGCAAATGTTTTAGGCTTGGTGTGTTCCTAGAGTTTGATTGCCAATTGGAGAAAATTTACTTTTCATAATGAGGTCTCATTAAGTAGAATTTCAAGGATTAACAGACCAACTATGAAATCCTAATCAAGTCCAAAAGCTACATAGTTATGATTTTATTCAGAAATCAAGATTGGATTTACACCCATCACCAAAGCCACAATTTTATTCATAAACCAAAGTTATCATTTACACCAGTCACCAAAGTCTATGTATACTTGCTGTTAAACAACAGAAAAAGGATCTAACCCTCAATCAGAACCTTCTTCGTTTACCAGTGGCAATCTGATACTGAACGGCATCTGTATTGTTTCCAACATGCAGTTGCAGGCCATTGTTCAAACAAGCAGAACCACGTGCAAAGTTCAACACAGAAGAAGATGGTATCTGAGAAAAGCCAGGTGAACTCTCAAGGAATGAAGCAGAACCACTAGATGAACTCTGTGTTGGGCAAATAGAATCGACTACTTCTAATCTCTGCTCTATTAATGAGCCACAATGATCACCTCCATAGATGAGAGTGGGTGGATTTTTCCACTTGGGAAGAGGTGCAACAAGAAGTGTTTGAAGTAAAGGACCAGTATCCATGACAGCCTGCATCAGTCTTCCTTTCTTGGGCAATGGTCTCACTCTAGCAATGTTATCAATTAGAACAGAAGCACAATCAAACTTGGAGCCACGTTCTTGTGCAACAGGCCTTTTTGGCAGAGCCAAGTCACTTGAATCAGCAAAGTTTGCATTAGGCAGGCCTTGGAAAGAGATAGAACCCAAGTTGTAGTTTGTGGGATATGAACCATAAACTTGGAAATTGTATGTTTGGGGAAGAGCTTCTGATTCTTTGAGCATTGATGAATTTGTGGTTTTTTGGGGAATTGGGTTTTCATTATTGGGTTGTGATGAGAGGATATGAGTGGTTTGATCAGCAGGTATGGATGGCAATAACTCATTCATTAGCTTTTGCAACTGGTTTCTTGCTTCATCTCTTTCTTGGCAAGCAGCCTTCAAGAGTTCAAATAACTGCTTTATGATCTCCTCATTTTTGCTTACCTCCTCTTTTGCCATCATCTTTGCTGATTCTAGTTCAAAATTGGTGCAGAGAAGCTTGTGTTTCAGTTCATCAACACTCTGTCAGAGAACAAAGATCCCAAATAAGCATGCAACAGAAGTGCAAATGAAAATCATTAACCATGATCATTTACTCCAAATGTTCATTTTATGAATCATTGAAAATTATACAAAACAGGCCTTCACTTTATTTGGAAGATGCATAAATACACTGACATGAAGTGTTTCAAGAGCAACAAGAATAATAATTCATATCCTTTATTGCTCTCAGAAATATTGCTGTATTTTCTGTATGATATAATTAATCTTCCACACTACAAATGCATCAAATTGTACAGCCAGTTGGAGAAAACTTTTAAACTAAATCTGACTTTCTGCCAAAAGCACCAAGATAAACTGAACATAAATCTAGACCAACCCCCTTATGGAGGCTCCAGCCAAATTCTTGCCATAAAACATGAAAAGCCAGTAAATATTGTTGTAAACAACAAATGAAAATGCATAGATGCACCAATTCTAATACATTGAATTGAAAAACCACTCACCTCTTGATCACTCCAAATGTAAACCATTCTCTCTCTCTCTCCCAAATACACACAAATGACAGAAGCAATGTGTAAGTTGAAGGCCTAGCCGGCTTGCAGAACAATTAAATTGAAGAGGGATAAGCAGAGACATAAAAAGGGGGGGGACCTCTAGCAAGCTTCCATAAACGTAATCATTAATGGTGGGATGAGTATAAGGTATGTCTGAAACCTTCTTAAAACTACTAATAAAATTTACAGTAGAC